AAACATGCTATCTCGTACACACGACGTCGTCGAAGTATGTTCCTTGAAGCCCAATTAAGTCTTTTCGGTTCTTCAATTAGAAATAAGGGAAAGGGAAGGCATATAAGGGTATTTTTATGAAATATCTTGTAGGTAGTAACATTTCCCTTGTTTGAATATCTCTTGCATGCAATTTTATTAATGTTGGGGAAAATGTTAGATTTGAATGGAAAAAACAACTGTAGTGTAGTGTAATTTATGACCGACCACATAATCTATCTCTTTGTGAAAACCCATCCAAATCTATTCAGCCATTCCAAATTTAACCCCAGAAAATTACAGATGAAACAGACACCTTGTTTCCTTTAGAAGAAGAAAAAAGGATAACGTAAATTTAAAATGGCATTTATCAAAATCAGCAAGACGTTTTAAAGTGTAGTGCTACAAGAACTCAACTTTCTCCCATTATTTGTAACATTTGCTATTCTGAACGGAACCTGAACGGTCTAAAAGCTTGTCTTCAGTACAGAGTGATGGACGAACAGACATTTTGCCGTACACCATTTTTTATGTTTCAAGGACCCACAAAACGTGGATTCGGACTCAGAATCACAATGAGTTAAAAGAAATAATTTACTACTTAGAGGAGCAAGATTTATCCACATTTCCGATATCAGAGCCTTTTAATACGAGTTTTTTTAATGAAATATCGACACGTTCCACTGCTGCATTACAAAACTTCTTCTTACCTCGTAAATACTGCGTAGTAGGCGATAAAATGAAGATATTGTTGTTTCTAAGATTTTCCTTTATTTCTCCACCAAAATGGATGTGGAACTTGAGACAGTTTAGGAACAGATTATTGATACTTCCCGCCGAATATTTTCTTTCCTGGTACTTGTATTCTACGAGGAGTTTGCAAACAATTTAATAAGTTCATCACTGATATACCTGAGAATGCTAGTTCAATCATCAAAGTAAAAAAAAAAAGATATGATAGAGCAGATGCTAAGAACAAAACAAACTCTTGGTTTGCCACAGAATTTAAAGGAGATCCCGAATAGTATTTTGTTTCTCATTATTGTCAAAAATACCCTATTTATACTATATTCTATATTCAACATTTATTGTGGTTGAGAGAGCTCAATTGCAATAGACAGACAAATGCTTGGATTGGAAGATTGTGATGACGAAGACACCGATTCAATCGTATCAAAGAGGCATAGTTAAGTTTGGATGACGAGTTATTGACTGAATGCTGAGATGGAACCATTGTCCTCAGGGGATGCCATGACGCATGATGAAATGCTTCCCTCAGCATCTCAGGTGCGGACTTTGCTGCCACAGTTGCTGATCCCACCGTTGACAGCGTAGGGAGCCAACATCACTGCCATCATTGCAAAGAGAAATGTCACTTTATCCAATTAAAATATAGTATACAAATTCGTGATCAAAATCTCTTCTGCAAGGATGATAGCACTTCGAACAAGCAGGGTCAGCATTAATCCATTGCTTCTGAAACTTAGGACGATGATTGAACTTGACAGAGCCTCTTCGCTATGACGTAGTTCTATAAACATATTGCATTGTCGCCCCCAATATAGCATGTTCGTAGGCTCGGCGAAGTTTTACTTATGTACACATTTGCTTTCTTTTACGTTCAGAACACTAGTCATCATCTGGTGTTGAGGTCGTTGGTAACCTGCGGGTATTAAAATGAAATATGACGAATGAAAAATAAGTAGGACGCGTTTCATTGAAAACTGTTCCTACAAATCACAAAAATGTCTCTTTATTTAGTTTTATAATTGAGAATCAGAATTAATTTCTTATTACGATGTAATTGGAGTACAAAACATTTTTTTTATATTCCAATTATATTGTATTAATATCAACAAAAAATTTTACCAAATAAATTGGATATAAGTAAAATCTGGTGGAAGGATACTAAATTTATATATTTGCCTAAGTTTAACAGTGCTATGTATTATTAAAAAAGACAGATGGGTTGAGTTCAAGAATTCCAGGAATAGTTAAGCGTTGCTATATTATTGTAGCGTGTAGTATCAACATTTTGTGAAGACTCCTAACAATACGTTGAGTACTCGAAAACATTACTAAATAGACAAAACTATACAAACAAAATTCGTTCTAATTTATGACATGATTAAACATCTAATATGATAACACTTTTTTAAATCCACGATTTGGGTGATTTTCAAACGGAGAACTATCAACGTTAGCGTTTCTCAGTTGCTGCTGCGTTGAGTAAACGTTCTCTGGCATCAAGGATGCAAAGCGGAAATTTGAACTCTCTGCTTCCTGAGCTCAAAAGTGGCGGCCATGCGGCGACCATACTCACCTCACGTGTTCTCCCATAAGCCCCCTTTCCTCTTCGAATCTCTCACTCAATCTTTCTTCAGGCCCTCCTCGCGACGTGTTCCAAAAGGAAAATTAGGCGAAGGACGTAAGATGTGTTTCTCTTAATACTCCCTTTAGACATTATTTAACAAATAACAGTCAATGAATATTATTATGTTCAGAAAATGCCTCAATAGCAATTTTATTGTCTAACAGCCGTCGGATTTAAAGAAATTTTGTCTTTCATTATTCAGCAAAATATTTATGTTCTTTTGGCAAGAGATTTTAATAATTAAATTTACAATACTTTACTATAAAACTATGTGCAGTCTATTGAATTAAAAAATCTAATGGTATATTGAAGATACGAAGATATTTGCTGCGCAAAATGCGTAAAAGAGAGAAAATATCGTCCTGCAGCTCAAGCCGCTTCAGGCGTCAACTTACGGGTTTACCAGCTACATTGAATTTGATAGATTGACAGTGATTCCGGGTGGCGTCAACCACTAAAATCTGGTGGTGGTAGTGGTGGTGATCTTCTGCTAGGTCGCGAGATCCGACTCCAATCTACCCGTCTGCTACCGGTTTTCTCGCGGATCGCGCGCGGTCCATGGCCCGTTTGTTAATGTACTACTCTGGCAGTCGCCGCGTGTTGATCGAAGAAACCACGGAAAATTTGCCGATCAGAGCAGCTGGACGATAGACTTTGATACTGGCCATTGCTTATTTATTTAAATAGTAAAGTACTGTTTTAAAAACAAAGTCCGAAACGTTAGAATCATCTTTCCATTTGCCACAATATGAATGATAGTGTCTTGAGTCTATGCTCTGTAATGAAACACATCTTTTTGCAGAAATGCTGTGAAATTCTCGTCGCAAATGATGCAAAAGTATTTATTGTTGTTGTTATTTTATTAGGATGCTTTTTCACGCTACTTGAACTAGTAACAACAACAACAACAGGTCGCCGGTGTCAGGGCAGCGGCCGGCGATGCGCTGCTGAAGCGCCACTGACGCAATGTGATGCGTTGCTAGCACCTCTGAAGTACGTCAAACGAAACGCTCGTTAATAATGTATCAATAACTCGCGACAGTCGGCGATATGACAATAAATCGTTTCAAATGATATTTTCATATATCCACATTGCTAGTAACTTCTTACGAGTTGACTCCTATGTTATGTTTGAGACAACAGAAAGTCACAAGTTTACTTTGGTACATAAACTGGATGTACTAACCATTTATATCACAAATGACGAAAATAGTATAAAATGATGAAATCTCCCAACCAACAGGTTTCAATTATTATTATTATTATTATTATTATTATTATTATTATTATTATTATTATTATTATTATTATTATTATTATCGTATATGCCATTTATGACCACGCTACACGTTATCTTGAATTATGAATAGAGAGGTGTGAAGGGACAATCACAAATATAACCATGCCTTAGCGTAATTTGCCATAATTCGCAAATAATTAACCGTGGTAACTAATTCCAAGAACGAGAAAGAAAGCATTAACTTTCCAATCTAGTAGTTATTTTTTTCTTTACATCATCACAAGGAAGTTGTTTATGTATGCTTATCGTGCATATCTGGGGATACGGGTATCACAGTTTGACACTACCAATTTAATTCAATGGGTTATACGTGAAATGGTACCCCTAGCGAAAATCGTCCGAAATATAAAGTTCCATTTTTTCCGCCCTTCTCGTACATCAACAAGTTCACAACACATGGGCGTAATACAGCAAGCAAAGCTGCAGTGGAAAGTGAAGGAGCAGGGCCGCGACCACTACTGGGACTGACAACACTGATAAAAATATAGAAATTGGTCTACAGAAATGTTTCTCATTCGGACCTGTTGAAACGAATTTTCTCGGTTTTATATTCCCAGCATCCCGTTTTCATTCTATTTTCTAATTGTTGTAATAAACTAAGTCGTTAAGCGTTTGATTAAAATACCCTTTTGTAACCAAATCCATATATCATCAATATTCTTGTAATTGTGTGCCCAAACATGTGGAGACTTGAACGAAGCAACACGCGAGTACCAAATAAAAAGTTTAACTTTGAATTTCCGAACAAGGAATTCGTAAGACTTAGAAATTGATATAGACTCGTATGCAGGTCTAAGTAACATTAAGGATTCTACAAGTTCTTTGAACCAGTAAAGAAAATTGCGTCTGTTATTTCTTTTCCCAAACTCGACTGAGTCATTCGCTGCCTCCGGCTTCCGCCGCGTCCTCAGCCGCTCGCACCTCTCAGCAGAAATGACCTCCTTGGCCACGTCCCTCTCGGCGCAACAACGTCAACTCAACGCACACGACGCAATGGACCTCCGCACACAAGACGCCTACGGGGCGTGTGGGCGTGGCGTCGCGGGCGCGGCGGGGTCGGGAGATGAGGCGGGAAACCCTCGGCGTACTGGAAGAGAAACGTGGAAACATCTTCACGCGGCCCGCCCCTCACTCTTTCCTAGCGATCGCAGGGGGGGGGAGGGGGAGGCGGTGCCCGAGGCTGCGACCAAAGATCGTCCGGCGGGCGGCGCGGTGATGGCCCCGAGGGCGCGGGGCGGGGCGGGGCACGGGCGTTATCTACGCTGACGAATCGCCCGCCCGCGAGCCGCCGTCCGCCGTCCCCGCCGTCGCCGTCGCCGTCGCCGTCGTCCCCGCCGCCTCCGACCTTTGCGATATGTACCAAGTATAAGAAGCGAGCGCGAGGTGTAGCGCTCAGTAGCCGCTATCGCCTTCGCCTTCGCCCCTAAGCGCAGCCCAGCAACCACCACCGCCGCCAGCGGACCACAGCGAGGGAAGCGCGACACCCGGGGACCACCACACACACACACAACAGTGAGTTGACGCAGCCGGCCAGCTCAGCTGACCCAGCAGCCGCAGGCAGGTTATGCACGGAGCCAAACGCACCTGCCTCACTCACTCCTACTTTCGGCAAAAAGTTGGAGAACGATATTTACAGATTGTACATTCGAAAAATATCGGTAACAGTGCAAGTGATGTGGATGTCGTGTAATAGTTTAAGGTTACAAAGTTGCCAAATTTCAAATTTTAATGAGCAAGTAGTTGCGTTTACTTTCTCGCCTTCGTAAAAAGAAAGTGTGGGAAAAACAGCGATTTTTTGACAGAAAAACTCTTAAGGTCGGGTCTTGGGAAAAAATGGATAAATCTTATTTTCATAGTTTCCACACACTAGTATGTTCCCGTTCTAGTGAGAGGGTCAACATTGTTTCGGTCTCCAATCGTTTGTGGAAGGAAATGAAAGGAGACAGTAGAATCGCACCAAAAAATTCCCGAAACATCAAAATATTCTTTGTTATTGGAATAAAATATTGAAGTTTACTCATATGGAAGCAGCCTTGTGCATAGTGTGTGTACGACAAGAAATCGGATTTCAATTTAGTGCAGGACAATGACTCGGATACCTAACAGTCCTACAGCAACCAAAAACCCCCTTTTATGTTGAAGTATAGGAGCATTCGTATAACTGCTAAATATCTCTTT